AGATAACAGAAAAAAATCCTATGCTGCCTACAAGAGACTTACTTTACCTTTAATAACACACATAGACTGAAAGTGAAGGGATGGAAAAAGATATTTCATTATTCACACCTAGGAAACAATAACTGGAAGGATGGCTTTGATCTAATATATAAAGGAGTTTACTGAGAATTAAAGCTCTCCAAAAATCAAATATGAAGTAAATTCTCCATCACTGGTAATATGACTTCTTAACCATCTCTGAAGGAAAACATAGAAAGATCTTACACACCAGGACATGACTGGAATTCTAGCTCATTCCTTGGCTTGAGTTGTGTAACAAAAGTCCCTTCTTATCTCAGCCCAGAAAAGAGAAAAAAAACTAATTTATTTCTATAGAAAGATAAACCCTTCTTTTTCTCCTTTACCATGATTCTGCTGCCCATTCTCTCATGATCCCAGTCCTGCCCAGTTGGGTCACTCACCCATCCTTTGCTGGCTCTACTACATAATTATTATTTTTAATTTTTTTGTAGAGATGGGGTCTCGCTATGTTGCCCAGCCTGGTCTTGAGCTCCTGGCTTCAAGTGATCCTCCCACCTTGGCCTTCCAAAGTGCTGGGATTGCAGGCATGAGCCACCACACCAGGCCACTATATAATTATTGACTCTTGAAGTTGGAAGATTCCATCAAGACCACCTATGTTAGAACCTGCCTGGAATCTTAAAGCTTGACCTTTCCCCCTATCCCATGCACACCTCTACTGTCCCAAAACTGAATCTTCAGTAGCCTTCAAAAGGTCCAGGGCCTAGCCTGATATATGAACTCTCGTCCCAGAAAGGGAAATCTGAGTGCTGAGTCCCAGCTGGAGTTATAGTTTCTTGACCTGAGCACAAGGTGGGGCAGGACTGATCTATGAGCTGCAAGTATGGAACTCATACCCCTAAGTTCAGGGATAGTGAAACAGCTAGACCATTCCAGTAATGAGAAGGGGCAACCCAAAAAGACTAAGGTGAGAGCCAGGATCCACCACGAAGCAACAGGACAGACGCCTAGGATCCCAGGGCTTTAGAGAGGAGGGTTTGGCAAGAGACCCTGAGCCATCAGCGAGGCACTCTGGATAAGTGCCCAGAGTCAGGAGGGAGCTCGGAGAGTGGTTGTAACGAAGCCCAAGGAGCAAAGCAATACGTTAATATATATGCTAGGACTGCAGCAGTTCAATCATCTAATCCAAAGGGTCTGATTAACTTCTAGATCCCCTACCCAGAGCCCGGCTCACTGTGAGAGCCTCTCTCCTACCTGTCCTCCACTGCAAGAGCCAGAGAGAAGAAGTGACTGATGGCTTTGGGCAGGGGCTATTTGTCAGTGGAGGAGAAAATAATGGAATAAACAAAAGACAGAGAAGCTGTAGTGGAGGGAGGGAAAAGAGGGAGAGAAAGAGATTCCAGAAGGCATGCTCTCTGCTGACGGAGGAGGATGGCCACACAGCATAAGGTCTGACAGAACACGGGGGAAGGCGGAAAGTCCGGCAAAGCCAGGCCCGGGCCCCGCGCTGCGTGGGTTGGGAGAGAACTCTCAGCCCGAAGCAAAGAATTCACCGAACACTCTCAGGATTGCAGGTGTTGGCTTGACCACTGGCAGGAAGGCTGCTGTGTTGCAGACGGCACTGCCAGTCTCTTCCGTGACGAGGGGCATGGTGCGGAGCTGCCCAGGGCCTCAGAGGTTATCGCAGGAGAAAAGCAACTTTCCCATACTCACCCGCTCCTCGGAAGGTAACCACGAATTCACCTTCTTCTTTTAAGGCAACATCACCTGTCTTGGTGCCGTACCTTCAAAAAAAGACAGAGGGGGAAAGTGGGTGCTTCTGAGCCTCTCCTTCCCTCCTCCTCCACCTTAGAAGCAAGGAGAGAAGGTGAGAAGGAACCCAGGCGCTAGAGGAGGCAGGAGAGGAGGCTGCCTCTCATGCCCCATGTCGACAGACCTGCTCCCCAGAGACTGTCGTCTTCCTTCCTTCAACATGTTCAGGGTGGCTTGGTAATGTGTCAACCTGGCTGGACTACACTTCCCAGAATTCCCCTTCCTGAGTATTCCGGTTAGGATGGGCCCCAGAGCTCCTCGTGGGAGATTCGGGGAGCGAAGGTGAGGAGGCGGCCATATTGCTTCCTGCGCGCAGGCGCCGTCTGCGCTTCCGCCCGCTGGGCTCCAGGAGCTCCTGGGTCTGCAACTGCGTCGCCACCTGCTGGGCCTCCTCCAGCTTGTCCAGCTCCGCATGTGGATCTAGCTCCTGGATGAGGGCGCCATTTTCTCCTGCAAGACCCCACATCATCGAGGGTGGGAGCAGTGAGAACGGACCTGGGTTCCAGTGGGTCCGCAAGGGTTCCAGCATGCCCTCGCTCTCTCCCAGTTTACACCCATCTTCCCTTCCCACCCACCTGCCCTGTGAACTTCAGGTTCGCGCATCAGACACAAAGATACATCTCATATACAAATACGGCATATACGTAATACATAAGCTATATCTCTCCTACAAATATGGCATATATA